GGAGGCCCCTGAGCCTCCAGCAGCCAGTATGGAGCAGCCACCAGAGGGGCAGCAGAGAGTCGCCTGGGAAAGCCACCTGGGGATGGGGTGGGCCTGGGCATCAAGGAGATGCTGACATGCAGAGAGGGACAGTGACCCTGGAGGGAAATAGGTCCTTCTTTTTCTAGAGTATCATCCTTGACACTGATGTAAAAATTCTAGAATCAAATTTTATCTTCAGCTCTTGTAGATGCTCCTATTTCCCTGACAAAGGTCCAGGCACTTGACTTCCCCACACACCCTCTCCTCACACACCCAGTTGTGCTAAAATGCTGTCCCTGTCACACACACTGTCCTTCCTGAGGTTACACATGTCCCCCTCCCTGCCCTATGCCCTGGGAGCCCCTGTCCTGTAGACATGGCAGCTTCTCCGTCCCTGGCTGCACCCCATCTCCACTGTCCCTAGGCATTCCCATCTCTCTCCTGGGAAAGCTGCCAAGTCACAGCTCTAGATTTCCTTGTGAGGCACAAAATAGTTGCTCATTAACCTTCTGTTGACAATTAAGTTTTTAAGCCCTTGATTTGTTTTCCCCAGCAACTGAAGACGCCTTAGTCATAATAAACATTCACTTCCAGGCGTCTTGCAGTTTGCTGACCCCTCTCATTCTCTCATGGAGCAAACATTTTCTTGACCTCCTTATCTGTCCCTGGTCCTCACAGCACCCTGGGGACACTGGGGCACAGCATCTATGGCCTGCCCTAGAGCTCACAGCCAATGCAGAAACTTACAGCATCCCATGAATCTTCCAACACTCTGTGTGCACTCGGCAACCAAGAAATTTTCTTCTCCTCTAGCACTGAGGAGCTGTGCCCTGGGGTGGGGCCTGTACCTATCCAAGGCCTGTACCTATCTCCAGGTGCTGTCACCTGGAGAGTGGGGACAAAGAGGGTCCTTGCATTAGGTTCTGGAAAGTGTCTTCAAAAATGGATTTAGGCATACACCCAAAATCTCTCTGACACAAATTATTTATGATCAGGACACATCTAGAGGCCTAGACCAAAATTCACCACCTCCCTCCTGAGTCAGGATGGAATGGAGGAGGGGACTGGGGACTCCAGATAATTTCCCTGTCACCACTGTGACTCTATGGCCACCTCCTGCAACAGTCAGGGACAATCCCATAGGAGGGGCTTCATATGTCATAGGAAAAACACCCAAAGTCACCTATGAGCTGTACCATGACCAAGTGAGCCCAGGAGGGGGGTTGAGCACAGGGTGGTGTGGAGATATCTGCAGAGACTGTGGAACCAGTTTGTAAAGGAGATACTGTAGGCTGAGGGTGGGAGTGCAAGGCCACTCCTCCCCTTCTCTGCATCCTTTGGGGCTGAGCCCTTCTCTGGAAACCACAGATCTCCTCCAGCAGCAGCCCTGACTCTGCTGATTTGCATCACAGGCTGCTCTCTTCAGCAAGGGAATAAGAGAGGCCTGGGAGGAACCTGCCCAGCCTGGGCCTCAGGAAGCAGCATCGGGGGTGCCTAAGCCATGGCCTGGACCGCTCTCCTTCTGAGCCTCCTTGCTCACTTTACAGGTGCTGCCCTCAGTGTCCCAGGCACCTGCCCAATCCCAAGGCTCTGGGTCCAGCCTGGCCTGACAGTTACCTCAGCAGGACCCTGCCTGTGGTATGCAGGATGCTCATGATCCTGCTGCAGGGGGAGGGGCTGCTGGGGGTGAAATGTCCCCATACTGTTCTTCTGTGCTCATGATCCCCTGAGGACACTTTTATTCCTGAAACTCAGGCCAGGCAGGTGGGAAGGCGTTCCTGGGCTGAGCCCCTCAGTTTCAAGTCTATTCTATTCTCTCCCCTTTTCTTGCAGGCTCTGTGGCCTCCTATGAGCTGACTCAGCCACTCTCAGTGTCAGTGGCCCTGGGACAGATGGCCAGGATCACTTGTGGGGGAAACAATATTGGAAGGAAAAATGTGCAGTGGTACCAGCAGAAGCCAGACCAGGCCCCTGTGCTGGTCATCTATGAGGATAGCAAGCGGCCCTCTGGGATCCCTGAGCAATTCTCTGGTTCCAACTCAGGGAACACGGCCACTCTGACCATCGACGGAGCCCAAGCCGGGGATGAGGCTATTACTGTCAGGTGTGGGACAGCAGCACTGCACACAGTGACACAGGCAGATGAGGAAGTGAGATACAAACCCTTTCCCCATCTGTGTCACCCTCTTTCTCTAATTCCAGGAGTACTATGAACAAAGCCATAAGTGGATCTGGTTCAATTTTCTTCAATCTCTGCCCCCAGCCTGTCCCTCCCTCCAGTGCTTCAGGCGGGGTCTGCAGAAAGTGCATCAGAAGTTCATTTAGGGTGATGTGATGGACTGGCGTTTTGGTGACTCAGCTGTGACTTGGGAAAATAGGGCCTGTATGGAATATCAGACTGACGTAGACATCCACAGTTGGCTCTGGATTTCCATAGGTGGTGACAGGCCAGTCCTTGCCCCAAATGTCCTAGATCAGTCCCCAGAACTGCTCAGCTCAGGCTCCCGTGGTAGCCGGGGCAGAAAACAGACTCCTCCAGGTTTATGCCCTGCCTCAGTGAGGTTAGGTTTCATGACTGCCTGAGGCCAACATCTCAAGACTCTGCCTCAATACAGGAGGACCTAAAAATCCTCCCAGCTCCACAGCTCCCTGTAGGAAACACTGAGGCCTCAATGAGGATCGGGGTCTCCTGCCCCGTGTTGCCTCCCTCACCTCCTTTCACATCCTCTGTGCATGCAATTCTCCATCTCAGAGTCTGCTTCCAGGGAACCCAAATTAAGATCACCAGCCATCCCCAATATGGGCCATGCGGGAAACTCAGTAGGCCACAGTACACTGGAAAGCATCCTAAATTAGCATTGTGAGTATCCACATGCCCAGTGAGATCTGAGTGTTTCTTGCATTTGTATGGAATGAAAAGGGAGCCTGAGTTGCCAGGTGCTCTGGGTTCTGAGGGAGAGTTGGAGTCAGATCTCCCTGTAGGGAAACCTGGGGCATGAGGAGCAGCCTCACCCCATGCAGGGACCACAGATGCACCCACAGGGGGAGCTGCAGGATGGACACTGCCCACCTACATCCCCCATACCCTGTGCAAAAAAATCATTCTTTCCACCCCTCCTTCAGCCTATCCAAGTTGACACTTAAAAAGCCACCACAGCCCACGCTTGTCAACAGGAAACCCATTCACATTTCCATCAGTCACACAATCTCCACAGATTCTTCAAAACATAACAGTAGCCATGCAAGGTATAAAAAATGTCTCATAAATAACTGTACTTAGATTACATATGAAAATTATACTCTTGATATACTAAGTAAATAAAATATATTATTTAAATTCATTTACTTCTTCTCTTTGTATGTCTAACGTGGTAACTAGATAGTGGGATTCCTATGAGGCTCACATCATATTGTGAATGAACAGTGCTGGTCTGCACCCCTTCAGGTATTAGGGACTGTGGAGTGACCTGGTGCAGGAAGCCCTGTCTCCATTCATAGGTCATCAGTGTGAACCCAGGGAGAGGTGCCGGTATAAGAGAGATGAGAATCCAGGGGTGAACCACCTGCTTGTGCAGGGGACTGAGCCTTCACTTTGAGCCAAAGAAGTTTCCTTTCCTATCTTCAATCCTGAACAAGAGGACTTTCTAGACATCTTTTTGTTTCCAGGTTTGTGCCACTTCAGGTTTGGGGATGGCTGGATCCCAGCCAGGGAACACTGAGAAATCCAGGAGTCTCACACTGACTGTTGTGTTTCATCTGCTGGGGCCATCCCAAACCACTGTGTACCATTTCCTGTCCTGGTGCTCAAATAGCTGCTCCATGCATTTGTCATGGTTTCAGAGATGAATCCAGGTGGGAAGACAGGATAGTGTATGTTACAATATTTAAATAGAACCTGAATCCCTTAATAGTTATTTTAATATGGAACATTCAAAGAGTTGTGTCATAGGCAATGGGAAAAGATGAAGAAAATTAAAAGCATTGTGAGGAAAAAAACAGAAACGTATTTATCAAATGTGTGTGTGTCTTCAGTGTTGCAGGATTGAGAACGGTCAGCTTTAGGTTGCCCTGAGGATGTGCTTAGATGGGGGAAAGCAAGAAAGCAGGAAATACGCGTCTCTGTGACCTGACACATAAATCACAGTAATGGAAATCAATCTTTCAATAAATCAAACATTCATAATAAATATCACTCTGGTACACACAGAAAGGCCTGTCAGCAAACCTGCCCTTTGTCCTGCTGGGTCTTACCCCCATGGATGACCAGTGTGCAGAGTGGATTCTGCGGTCCCCATTTCTCAGGCTGAGAACCAGAGGGTGAGAAGGACAAGTCGCCTGCTTGTGAGTGGGAAGGACAGGATTGGAAGCAGCGGACACAGACTCAGGACCACAGCCCTAGTCGGTGTTCCTCGTTCCCTCTACGGGGACCCTCCCACACGTGCCCCGTGTGGATGTGGGCGCACTGCCTGGGGCGGCTGATGTGCTCCAGGGATTCAATGCTGCAGATGGTTCAGCACAAAGCGTGGGGGTGGGGATGGGACGAGGCTGCAGCTGGGGAGACCAGAGACCAACAACACCCAGCAGAGGTTTCCACGGGGTGGGCAGCCCCATTTCCCAAGAATAGAGAGAACCTGGCAATGGGTGCCAGGAAGAGGGCACTTCGAGGTGTGCCCAGGCCTGGAGGGTCACAGACACAGGCACCACACAGCAGAGACGCTGAGGGCCAGGAGCTCACTCAGGTGAGGGGCTTCCGCACATCTTTCTCTCCTGAGCAAATCACGTGCAAAGAAATCAACTTCCTGTCATCAGAATAGACAATCAGGGACTTTAGTCTCCTCAGCTGAGCCCCACTGTCAAGGGAAGCAGAAGTCTCTGAGCCCAGGCCCAGGTGAGGGTGGGGTGAGGAGAGGAGCTCAGGACGCAGATTTGCATGGAGGCCCCGCCCTCCTCTGAGGCAGAGGGGATAACACAGGGCTGGGGGCAGGCCCAGTGCTGGGGTCTCAGCAGGCGGCACTCTCGGGACGTCTCCACCATGGCCTGGGCTCTGCTCCTCGTCACCCTCCTCACTCAGGGCACAGGTGACGCCTCCAGGGAAGGGGCTTCAGGGACCTCTGGGCTGATACTTGGTCTCCTGCTCCTCAGGCTCACCTGGGCCCAGAACTGACTCACTGGAATGTGTTTCTCCCTCTTTCCAGGATCCTGGGCTCAGGCTGCCCTGACTCAGCCTCACTCAGTGTCCGGGTCTCCTGGACAGTCGGTCACCATCTCCTGCACTGGAACCAGCAGTGACATTGGTGGTTATGACCGTGTCTCCTGGTACCAACAGCACCCAGGCAAAGCCCCCAAACTCATGATTTATGAGGTCAGTAAGCGGCCCTCAGGGGTCTCTGATCGCTTCTCTGGCTCCAAGTCTGGCAACACAGCCTCCCTGACCATCTCTGGGCTTCAGGCTGAGGACGAGGCTGATTATTACTGCAGCTCATATGCAGGCAGCAACACTTTCCACAGTGGTCCAAGTTCATGGGGAACTGAGACCAAAACCTGCCCTGGGCTCTCAGGTTCCCTTTTTGTTCTGAAGATGCTTCCTCAACTGGTGCAAGCGGCTTCCTGTAGCACGGCCTTGACAATTCTCAGCTCCTCTCCTTCCCCACTATGAAGTCCAAAAGAAAACTTGCACTGTGGTTTCTCTTCTGGGACAGTTGACAGTTTCCTGATGATTGTGTGTTGTGGTCCCTGAATTGCAACTCTTCTCAGCTCTTCAAATGCAGGGGACAGTGACAAGGAGCTGTCTGATTCCCTGCTGTTTTCAGGAACATCCTCATCCTAAATGCATCCCCGCCTTCCTCGCTGTGCAGACCAATCTGGACAGAAGTCATTAGAGGGAGTTTCCAGAAATTGCATCTTACTCCACTCTGTGTCCTCCATGCTCTTATGAAGATGGCCCTCCTGGCTGGGCTATTACTCTGCACCTCTGTCCGGAGGCAGTGACCACTGAGGGAAGATCTCAAGATGTTTCTGAGAAATTAGTAACAAAGAGGAAGCTGTTGTTTTTCTTATTTCTGTTCCTCCTCTTTGCCCCAATACCTCAGGTTGCTGAGCTAGGAGATTTTGAGTGGCAGGCTCAGTGTTCTCTCAGAATCCCCCTCCCCTCACATCACTGAGCCCCTGTCTTGGAAAGGCCCCACATGTGGACGGTCTCCCCATAGAATGGGAGATTCCCATGTGGCTCTACAGGGTAGAGTTAGCCTGAGTCCATTCTTTCTTCCTCATTGACATCCAGCATTTCTAATTTCCACGGGCGTCAATACTTTTGTAACTGAAACCTTTATTAATCTACTAATGGTGATAATTTAGAAAATATTCAGACATGAGCTGGATCCAATAAATTTTCTGAGCCTGTTATTAAACATAACTATTATTATATATATTTTAGGTTTCACAAACTTCAAATAAACAGATTGTATTAAAAACAAAGTAACCATTTTACTATATGTGTGTCCTATATCATCATGTTGTGTACCTGAAATATGCGCAATAAAATGTGTTTCAATGACAGAAGTGTATTCATTGCCTATTGCTGCATGAAAGTTACTCCTCATACTCAGCATGTTAAGAGCACATGTTTGTGATCGTGTCACTTTGGTGCATCTAGATTTTGAGAGCAGCTTGGTTTGCTGGTTCTGGCTCCAGATTGGTCATGAAGTTGCAGCCAATCTGTCAGGCAGGGCTGCATTCCGAGACCAGAGCAGGTGACCAGGCTCAGCCTGAAGGGGTTCCACTGTCCCTAACCTTTTTGGCAGATGTAGATCAGCTCAGGGTATAAGGAGAGAGTGATGTGTAAGGCCCCTGTCTGGTTCCTTTATGTCAAAGACCATTCCATGCATGTATAATTTTTTCTTTCCTCAGACATCCTATGCATAGAGCCCTGTCGCATTCATTCTAAGCTGCAACATATTCCAGGGCAGAGTTTAAGCCAACTATCTTCTAATGGTTATCACCATGATTTTGATCTCACAAGAAACAGGGCAGTGAACACCTCTATGCAGACTCCTTGTAGCTCACATGTGCATATGACTATAGGATAAATTTCTAGAAGTCCAATTGTTGGATCAAAAGGTTGTATGTTTGTAATTTTCACCCATTATTCTCAGATTCCTCTCCAGCGGGGTCCCACCAATTTATAATGTCAGCCATAAATGTTTGATCAGAGTACACTGTTGAAACTTTACATTTTGGCCAACCCAACAGATTGAAAAATGTTATGCTATTGTTTTTTTATTTTTCTTCTTCTGTTTTGGGTTTAGCATTTTCTCAAATATTTCAGTGGTCTTTATTTTACAGAATCCAGTAAACTTTTTCTTAAATGCCCAGAGGAAAACGATTTTAGTCTTAGTGGTCACAGATGGTGGTTCACAGCTATAATCCCAGCACTTCGAAACACCAAGGTGGGCAGATAGCTTGAGCCCAGGCGTTCAAGACCAGCCTGCACAACATGGTAAAACCTCATCCGTGAAACTAAATAAAATTAATTAATTTTTTAAAAAGTACTTTAGTCTTTGTTGCTCAAGAGTGACATTTGCAGATACACAACCATTTAAAACTATAGAAACGACTCTCAGCTCTAGGACCACTTTCTGAGCCTCTTGTTAAACACAGCCATTAAAAACAGGCGGCAGGTCAGGAAAGGCCCACTGGATGTAGCTTCATTGTTCCTGGTTTGTAGGGGTAGGTGAAGTTTGATAATTCCACCAGCATAAGTTCTACATGGAGATCTCTTGGTGATTCACCTCCTACAGTGGCCAGGGGTGTTTCTTTGGATGAGAACATACGTGTATCTATCTATTTGATTGGATCTTGAATCTACCCAAGACAGCCCTGTGTCACAGTCTCATAACTTTTATCTTCATCTGTTTGCTCTGAGTCATATGATAGTTTTAGCATAACAGGAACAGACTTGCACTACATGGAAAATCAGACGGAGAGGGAAGGACAAACGGGCAAGGAAGCTTGCACTATATATGGAATAATTCAGGGCAGGCTCAGAGAAAAAGCTCTTAAAATCAGTTGTGTACCTGAAACCAAAAACATGCAAGATTATTGAAGTTCTGGGAATTTTAAGTGAATAAGGTTTAAGTTTTCATCATATTGCAATTTTATATAAAGCATAAACACTATAAAACTCAGAATGTAACAATGGAATAAAAAAGAGTTTGAGATTTTAAGCTGTAATGACCCCAAAACAAGTTGTCAGGAAAGGAACCTTGATAGCAGAAATGTGTTATTCTACAAATCATCATTTTCTGTAAAAGTAGATTTTTTTCCCTTTTTCTTAGGTATAAGGAAACATTTCATGAAACATCCTTTTTTCCCACTGTGACGAGTATCATTATCCCACAAAGACACTAGAACATTAAGGAGGAAACAATTGCACTTTTGTATCAATATTGAGAAGTTTCATTATTAACACATCAATATGTTCATGCTCAATGATAAAATTGGATTTAGTAATTTAATATGCTTACAATAGATTAATTTTTTTCTTTGGGCTATACCATTTTTGTCTATGATTTATCTTAGTTAACTCAGACATATTGTGTTCTAAAAACAATTTTTGATATTTTTTGTTTTATTTTCTGTATCAACTATGGCTCTTTTCCAAACACTGCCAGAGATATCCCATGGCTACTCATTATTTAATTCAATTTTATAGGCATTTGAATTATTTGATATTGCTCTAAATTATTTCAAGAATGCACAGATGTGACTTCCTCCACATCTTGCTCACAAACATTGCTGATGCTGACTCACTCATCTCTTTTAATCTTAATAAAGTAGTTTACTTTTCTGGACTCACAGAAGGTAACAGGACTGAGGAGGCAGAACCTCCAAAAGCTGCTATCCTTTAAACCCTCAGGATGAATCACAACTGTAGTCTCACCCACACTTGATTTTGATGGTATATAAATGAGAGTTAAGTCTTAGATTGGTTGTGAGTTAGTTAAGGATTCAGTTAGTTTGGGCTGTTGGGATGGGGTGAATGTATTTTACAAGTGAGAAAGAAATAAGTTTTGGAGTTCATGGGGTGGGGGGTTATTGGCTGAATCCTGTCCCTTAAAATTCATGCAATAAAGTGCTCATACACAGTGTGTGACTGAATTTGGAGAGAGAGGTTTAGAGGCAATTAAGTGAAAATGAGGCCATGAGGGTGAATTCCAATCCAATCTGACTGGCGTCCTCCTAAGAAAAGAAAATTTGCACACACAGAAGTGAGACACCAGAGATGAGCGTGCAAAGACCATGTGAGGACACCGCAAGGAGGCAGCCACCTGCAAGCCAAGGAGAGAGGCCTCAGGGGAAACCAAACCCACCAACACTTTCACCCTGGACTTTTAAGCTTCAGCACTGAGAAAATTAAGTGTCTGTTGTTTAGGCCACCAGCTCTTTGGCATCTTATCATGGCAGCTCTAGCAAATGAAAACAAGAGGGACCCCAGAGGCCAGGGATGAGGGAGGAGGAGATGGAGCAGGGTAGAGGAGGAGATGGAGCAGGGTGCAGGAGGCAGGACAGGGAGGAGCTGGAAGATCAAGCTCTGAGGTGCGTCCCCTGGGTGGAATCGTAACTCCGCTCAGTACTGCCTGGGGACTTGAAGAAAAATGTTTAACCTTCTAATATTGATTCCCAAAAGAAGACTGGATCTTAAGAATAGGACTCATCCTCCCATTCCTATTATAAAAGTGTTCTTGAGGTCATGCTTGTAACACACTTATTCTGTGTCCCGCAGGGGGCACTGTTAGCCTTCATTTAGGGCCCTAATGACACCAAGTCCCCTAATAATGCTCAAGTGCAAAGGGCATGACTGGTGCTTCTTTTGAGTCCCCTTCTCTTGGGTAAAATGTACTCTCCACTCATGACTCCCACCTGGCCCTTCTGCAGACAAGAGCTCAGAGAAATGCTCTGGAAAATGGAGAAGAAATTTGCATCTGCTGCTCACCAGGGAGCCACCCAAAAAGGCAAAACAGGGAAGGAAGTAGATTTGCATGATGAGGTTCTGCTTCCTGTGATAAGAGATGCCTGGTGGCCTCTACCCAGCAGTGGGTCCAGAGGCAGAGCTCTGGGGCATCTCCACCATGGCCTGGACCCCTGCCCTGCTCACCATTCTCACTCTCTACACAGGTGGTGTCTCCCAGGGCTCAACCCCCAATGAGACCAAAGTCAGCCTGGCCCTGACCTTCAGCTCAGCACAGGGAGTGATGCCCTGGGAATGAGACCTTCATCCTCAGACTCACCTCTTCTGTCTTCTTTTGTAGTTTCTGTGACCTCCTCTGAGCTAACTAAGTTACCTGCAGTGTCTGTGACCTTGAAACGGATGGCCAGGATGACCTGTCAGAGAGACAGCACAGAAGATTCTTATTCATTTGTACCAGCAGAAGCCAGGCCAGGCTCCTGTGCTGGTTATCCATGATAAAATCAACCAGCCCTCAGGGATCCCTGAGCAGTTC